ACGAAATTTGGAGATTCACGACAATTGCAAAGCGAACTTCTGGTTTCTAAAACTAATGGTTTACTTCAAGAAATGTAAAAAAATAAAAAATTAATATACGCAGTTTATAAAATAAAAATGCGGTCTACACCTTTATCTTACTTGCAGAAAGTTTTGACTTGAAACGTCACTATTCCATCTCTAAGGACTACAGGCATATCCAAATGATCTGAGATGTCCGTCCATTCTTGTGATTCCTCTCTCGAATTGAAATGTAGTATCTTCACTTGACCTGAATGCAGTTCAGCTGGCTCTATTTCTCCGTCCGTGAGTGCCAACGGGAGGCTGATTTTCGCTGGCGCTGACAGCTTCACATTGTTTGAGCACGAAATGTGAAGAATCGGACCAACAAACATTCCTTCCACATCGTGGTCAATGGTTGGCACTTCTTGCACCTCAAATTAAAAGGGCCAAAACAATCATATCAAAAATTTATGATAACCCAAGGTACCCTTGTTAGCTACCAGTAGTTTCCCAAATGAAATAAGGACGATGAATAGATTTGACTAAACATTCTTTTTTCAGCTAAAATCTATGCACGCGGAATATACTGACATGGTGGTTTTCATAAAATCCGTTATTGGCCGTAATTTAGGTCAAAGCATTTGATTTTATATCAAGGTAACATCCTCTCGGCAATAAGTTGTTTTTTTGTCATCACCATTTAAGTCTTTTGAAGCAAATGATCGATAAAGTAATAATGATATTAATGATAACGATAATGATGGCAATAAATTTCATCATCACTATCACCATCATCATATCATCATCATTATTATTTCTTACAAATGCAACATCGGGTATAAATACCTTTAGAGTTAAAGAAAAGTCTGTATCGGCAGGCAAAGAATTCCACGGAATCGCAACACTAACATTTGGATAGTCTGGCAGTGAACAAATAAACTCAGAGGTCTTAGACATAGGCTTAGGAAAGACAAAAGACTTGAGGCGCCAGACTGCTGCAAACGAGGAAAACCACCTTTTCGAGCAAGAAGCTTCAGCCGAAGGGCACGTCCAATTGGGGACGGTTGGATGTACTGCAATATAATAATATTATTAGTAATACTGTAATAGATATCATTAGTTATGGTTATTACTTAAATCTTTCTCACAGAGCGGTCTGTGTAAGAGAA